TCTCTATTTATGTTTCGGCGTTCGAACTCTCTTCGTCTGAATCAATATCATCTTCTTGCAGCAGTTCATGTAAGACATCCTTGGTGCAGTCGTCAAACAATCCACTCCCGTTTAGATCTTTGTAACTCTCAACACAAAGCTGTTTATACTTGTTAAATATTTCTCCGTTCCTTGCCGTGGCTTCCATTTCAATGATAACTTTGGCTGGAATTTCCAATCCCCCTTGTACAAGTGGCGATCTTCGGTGCTTCGTATCCGTAACTTCGGTGTAAACGACCCCTCCTCTCAAAAGAAAAAAGCGTGTACACCTAGAAATTTCTCTAGGTATTAAAGTGACCAACTATTGAGTCAGCAAGCCGTCCAGGAAGGCGCGTAGTCGCAGCCAAGATTGGCAGATATGCTAGTGAAAAAGGTAATTCAAAAGCCATCAAGCACTTCAAGGCACAGATTCCCAGCTTGAAAGAAAGTACTGTCCGGACTTTCAAGCAGGGTTATGAGAAGAAACTCAAAGAAGAGAGAAAGAAAGGAAATGCAGAAGCTCAAGTTCTCGCTATCCCACACGATGCACCTGGTCGTCCACCGATTCTTCTTGAACTAGACAGCAAATTAATTTCCCTTCTTCAAAGTATAAGAAGCAGAGGAGGAGTAATAAATTACTCCGTCGTAAAAGCAACCGCTTTGGCGCTTGTCAACAGCAATACGACAACAAGTTTGGCAGGATTCGAGCCTACAGTGCCCTGGGTAAAGTCTATTTACAGGCGCTGCAACTTCACACGCTGAGCTGGAACTACCACGCGTCCACCAGTACCTCGAGGACTGTTCGAGGAATGCAAGCTCACTTTCCTTACCGATATCAATAGGGCAATCACTCAACATAATATGAATTGGTGCTAAATGCTGACCAAACCCCTTGTTCGTACGTCTCGGTGGGAAGAATGACAATGGCTCAACGAAATTCCTCTGCAGTTCCANAACGAACCGTGAGGGAAAAGGTTACGTCACCAAAGGATGGGAAAAGGCAGGAGTTGCTGGGGTAGTTAATAGCGAGACAGCTCTTCATCCCGAGGATCCGTTTGAAGAAATTGACAATGTCCTTGATCTATAAGCGCAAATATACAGACAGTAGCAAATAGCTCTGCTTTGTTGCAAAGGAACATTTCAAACTGTTTTCAGTTTCGTTTTTTAATATGGTTTTGTTAGGTGTCATTGAAAACTATTGCAATGAAAAATTAAAACCAGCTATGACAATTATGAGACTATCCATTTGTTATATTGTAGATCAGTGTCCTGGCAACTTTCGTGAAATTTAGCTCCTCTTAAAATATTTTTTCGGCCAAATCGCGAAAATTAAGTCCCGCGGAATATGCCCGTTCCATTTTCGCGAAATTAAGTACCCACAAAAATAAGCAACAATAAAGTAACAAGATTGGTTGAGAGAATGAAAAGCATTCGTAAACAGTTGAACCAATGGGATTTTTTGTTCTCACGCCAAATCTGCGAACGTAACACAAAGCCCCGCCGCCCTCGCTTATTTCACTCATCGAATTTGTGCGCTGTTTCGTCTCCGCTCATCTTTGTTCCCACGCCATATTTGCGCTCAAATTCAGTTGTTGTGGTAACATCGGAGTCGTTTTCGAGGCGTCGTTTTCCGTTTTTAATTCGTCTCCATTAACAAACTTATAAATTAAAGCTGGAAACTTTTCCGAGGCTTCAATCTTCTTGATGGACATTTATACTTTTAGTTTGATGTGTCCCGTACAGTAACTATATTACCTGTCGAATAGCCCGCGACTTGTCCAATACCGTATTTATTTTACGGGGGATAAATTTGTGATGTGCACGTGAAAGTCGCTGGTGGTAGGTACAAAGGTCCTGTTCTGTCGTAGATCTGTCCACTTTCTGTAATGTGTGCTAGACACGTTTCAACACACTTTCTAATTCATTCATTCATTTAATGATCCAGACGAAAAGAATGTCAGTGCAAACAATGGAAAAGAGTGCTTTAATTTTGTTCTGTGTCGCTTTGTCATTAGCCAAATGTAACTCTAGGAACCTGCTCTTGGTATACCATTAGTTTTCACTTGTATTTTCAAATTTCCATTTCAAATAGTCCTATTTTTATCCT